ATAGCTTAAGACAGCATGTTATTTTGTTTTATAGAATTACATATTGATCCTCCATTTTTTTTCCACTTTCTACATGGCTTATTTTGCTGGGCTAAATACTTTCAAAGCTTTTAAAAGTTCATCTTCGCAACCTCACAAGATTCTTCACTAGGGTTTTAAACCTTACAATGCTGAACATGAACATGACTGACTACAGACTACTGAATTCCAGACAGGGAAAATGTCTCAGACATGTCATTAATATACAACGAGACAGCTTCTCACCTGGGCCATTCCAAGCATGAAGGCAAAGGGGCTAAGAAAACTTAAAATCCACTCCACGGACTCAGGAAGATATCTGTACAATGCTGTGAATCCCAGACTCCCCAAAAAGACAGTGAGAAGGAACACGGCCAGGCTGGTGAGGAAAGATTTTTTTACCAAGACGCTCATTAAGAAAGCCAAAGCTATCTGAAATGAGAAAAGACCTAGTTGCTTTATGTTTCTCTAAGAATTATTAATAGCATAAAAAATAAGGTATTCAATATACAACATTTTAGTTATACTATTATTTTGTGTATAACATGCAAAACTATGTTCTGCACATTGTACTAAAAATTGGCATTACAAAACACCACAGACACCGAACTTTCAGGGATCATTTCTATCGTTTGTTACAGAACACCACAAATTAAATTGTACCTGCCTATAGAGTTTCACATGCAAACAGAGCAGACAGAAAAGAGGTGTGTTGAGTCATCATCTAATGGGAAACCAACACTTCATTGTTAGACTAAGATTTGAATGGAGAGAAATTTAATTCACCAACTCACCAAAGACAATCCATACAGGAGAAAGAGGGTGAAGACCACCATGAAGCCAGTCAGAATGACAAACTGGACTGATTTTATAACAAGTGCCAAGAAAAAGGCCATAATGGAGATGAAACCAGCATAGAGCAAACCCCAGGAAAGCCTAATGTGGAAACAAAATGTTTTTAGTATTTCTTGTTCAGTTGAAAAAAGAGAAACTGACATGACTCTAACACAATTTTTTCATTCATTCGTACATTCGTTTAGCAGATATTTATTGAGCGTTCTAGGATATGTAAATACAAGGCAAAAGTTTTGGGCAGAATTCTTTAGGAACTGGGAATTTTTTTCCCTAACATTTATTCCAGAAATACACATATACATCATTGTGAAAAAAAAAAAAGGAAAAATTAGGTTTTCAGTCTGGTAGATTTTGGTTCAGACATTTTGTCCGTAGCAGTTTACTCGTGACCTTGGGAACAATCCCTAGCCACTGTATGATTTCTTTATTTCTCTTGACAATAGGAAGAACTTGACGGTGAGGACTCAACAAGGTGATGTTAATTAGGACACTGTCTTGGTTCATGGCAGCTCCTCAATGAATCTCAGATCCTTTTCTCCTCTCTGGGAACTCTGTGTTGTAAAAAACTTCACACATTTCCTTAGAGGTAAGAAATTCTTCCTTATGTGTACTTCTGTCACCTCTTTTTCCAAAAGCTGTTTTCACCTTTCTCAGGATGGGTACACCAAGTAATCGACATAGTTGCCTTTAATTTCATTCATTTTCTATTAAGATAGGATGCTAAAAAATAATCCCATTTCTTTTGTCTCAGAATAGTTTCCTTTCCTCATCAATTTCTTTATCTTGTTTTACAATATTCATTGAAAACAGTAATAAAACAATAACAAGTAAAAAAACTTTAAAAAACAGCTGAAAAGCCAACAAAATAATAGCTGACACATATAGCAATTATTATATGTTGGGGAACGTTTAAGAACTTTGCAAATATTAAATCATTTGATTCTTACAATAGCCCTATGAGGAAATACTGTTATTGTCCAGAGGAATAAAGGAATTATAGAGTGGTTAGGGAGTTTTCCCAAGGTCACAGAGTAAAATGCTGCAGACAATATGTTTGAGCCAAAATCTATCAGACTGAAAACCTTATTTTTCCTTTTTATCACAATGATGTGTGTGTGTGTATCTCTGGAATAAATGTTAGAAAAAAGAATATTCCTAGTACCTAAAGAATTCTGCCCAAAGCTTTTGCCTTGTATTTACATATCCTAGAACACTCAGTAAATATTTTTCTCATTTTGTAGCGAGATAACCTAATGAACAGGAATGTTAAGTAACCATTTTTAATATCCAGGCATTCTGGCTCTGGAGGTTGAGATTTCACTGCTCTGCTTTATTTCCTTCCAATATTAATTCAGTAAAGAAGTCAATATTGATTTAAAAGATTTTTTAAATCCCCTAATTTAAAAAATTTGTTTTCTTTTTCATTGACAAGTAAAAATTGTATATTCTTATGGTGTACATGATGTTCTGCTATATAATCCCCTCTTTTTACGTAGGTATTTCCAAGCCACTGTCCTCTAGATGGAGCAGAATTCAGTGCTGTTGTTCAGTACCCTGCTCCCAACAGACCAAGTATAGAGTTTATAGGATTTAATATGGAAAGGAACTCTTCCAGGCTTTTAATTTGTTGCCATCTGCACAATCCACCTTCCTCCTCAGCTTCTCTGTTATTTCATTTCCTCCTCCCTACAAACCGTACCACTATGTCTTTTCAGTCAATTATTCACAAGTTCTCACGCAGAAACTTGTTCATTCTTGGAATTACTCAACCTCTGACATTTTAAATTCAAACTACCCAGCCTCGATTCACCATCCTATTCTGCCAGCTCATTTCCTCAGATACACCCGTCGTGTTTTCCAGTCTCAAAGGAGCTACTTACTGATCCTGGGCCTCTTTTTTTCCCTTTCAGTCCTGTCCTTGCTTGAATTCCACCTCTATCTGGCACAGACACCCATGTAACCTTTTCTCCCACCTTCTTACCAGTAGACTCCATGGCCACCCCCCATTATTCCTGCTTCACAATCACCCAGCAAACCCAAATCTGATGTTCTTTCTTCACTCAAAGAAGCATAGTAACATCCACCCTCAGCCTGGCAAACCTTATGCCAAGGACAATTTATTCCATTCATGGCGATAAAAGAAAAAGTAAAAAAAAAAAAAAAATCATTAGGTTTCATAAAGATGCTTTGAAGATGCCCACTTTCCCTGAATTCTTCCATTCATTTATTTGTGCGACATTCGTCTCACCAGAATGCTGAATCTCGAAGACCCATCATTGTCATGAAGCCCTTCATCCTTTTCCTCTCTCTTGCAATATTAATAGATGCATAGTAGGTGAACGGGGAAAAGGAAATAATGCAGATGAAAATAAAAAGGTCAGTTATAATCCCTGCTTGACCAATGAAGGAATGTATCTTCATATTTTTTCCAGTAACTGACATCAATTCCTCCATCGCTGAATGATTTGTTGTCACCTGAAGTAAGAGAATAATAAATAAAATTTGAATATTAATGAATGACAGGCTCTGTTTCCTTTTAGTCATCTCTTTTCCTATGTGTGTATAATTGGTCTGTTGGGATCTGATGCTAGCCTAAATTTCCACCTTTATGTCATGCCCTTGGCCCACTGGGAGCTTAGCGTCCAGGCATCTGAGCTACTCACGGTTTCCAGATTTCACTATGTGTTTTATCACCTCCCTGCCTAACATGGTTTGCTGGAAATACCTCTTCTGGCCTTATATATTTAGTAAACCCCTGACCTCAAGCCTCAAGTTTAAGTGTTATTTCAATTAGGAATTCTTCCATGGCATTCAAGGCTGAGAAGCTTTTGCTTATTTACTTACAAGGACTTTATTTACACTTCCATGAAAGCCTACTTCTGTTCTAATAATTTTCTTGTTATGTGCCTGGCTTCCTGACAATGTTGAGTCCCCGATGGAGATAATTTTTCTCTATTTGTGTCCGTATCCCTATCACGACATGTAGCAACTTTAGAAAGCGTTGTTGTAAAGACACAAATGAGAAAATGAAAGAACAGGGCTGTTTATATTTTCTCCCATGAAACTTTTGACACCTCTAGCATTAGTTTGCATTGGATATTTTGTACTCACTTCTATAATAGCAGCATTAATGGCAGCTTGAAGAGCCACAAAACCTTCCTTCCAGAATACTGAAACTTCACAGTCAATATCTTCATTTATTTCATTACAATGAGCTTTGTGAAAAAAAGAAACCATAACTATCATTATGGGTATTTCAATCTTGATTACAGGAAACAGTGGACTTTATAACGGCCTCTAATTCCAAATGTTCCTATTTTGACTCAAAGCCTATGAAAACATATATTATAGCAACAATTTTCAAAATGAGTTAGGTGCAGCACTCCCAAGGAATGAACGCTCTGTACTAAATTATAACACTGTAAGATTTTTCACATCATCTTTTGTGCTTTTCTGCCAATCAAGAATTTTGTCTTTTCTAATTCTTTTTTTTTTTTTTTTTTT